GCTCTCCAAGGCTCGTGCCGTCGTCTGCGCATCCCATTTGAACGCAAAGGGCAGAGATAAGCGCACGCGTCGCAGCCGCAAGCCATTTTCGCCAACCGACTTTGTTCCAATGCATCGTTCCGTTGACCACGACCAAGACGAGCAGCAGCAGCAGCAACAACAATCGCACGCACAGCAGCAGCAGCAGCAGCAGCATCTGCCGCCGCAAGCATCGCAAGCCACATCGGCTTTCCTCCCCGCCGGTGCACAACATGGGGGCATGCAAAACGCGAGCGAATATGGCCACCCTTTCACCGCACAGCCCAGTGTCTTTCGGCATCCTCAACCACATGTATCTTCGATGATGCAGGATGCCACACTCTCCCGACCGCTTGCGCAACAGCCATCGTTGAGTCAGAACGTGCTGAGCTCGTTGTTATCGGCCATGTACCAGCCATCCCAACAGCAGCAACAACAACAACAGCCACAACAACAACAGCAACAACAACAGCAGCAGCAGCAGCTTCAGCAGCAACAACAACGGTACCAACAACACATGCAGCTGTCGCAGATGCAGATAGGGGGCCAACAGCAAACCGGCTTCGGCCATTCCCAACAGCACTATGCACAACCGCACCGGCAGCAGCAGCAGTATAGCAGCCAGCACTACGCGCATCAGCAGCAGCTGCAAGGCATGCTGCAACAACAAATCGAACAACTCCAACAGCAGCAGCAGCAGCAGCAGCAGCGAGCCCAACAACAGCAGCAACAAGCCCAACAACAGCAGGTGCAGCAGGCACACGGACTGACATTGGATTATGCAGCGCGGTTCTCATCGGCACTGCGCACGTCCATGACATCACAGCAGCAGCAGCAACAGCAGCAGCAGTGGCAGCAGCGTGCTAGCAACACCGTATCCTCATCGTCTCAACGAAACCCACTCAACCAGCACGGCTCGCGGCAGCTACAGCTGGCGCCAGCTCAAGCGCGAGCACGCAAGGATGAACGCACGAGCCAGCATCCCCTGCAGAGAGAACGGCAACGAGAACAGCAGCAGCAAGAGCAGCAAGAACAACAGCAGCAAGAGCAACAAGAACAACAGCAGCAAGAGCAGCAAGAACAACAGCAGCAAGAGCAACAAGCGCAGGAACAATCGTCCACCCTTGACTCTGCCTCTCCCGTGGACGAACAAGACAGCAACGCGAGCGACGACCGCAATCGCAACGACGTTGATGACGATGGTGGTAGTGGTGCCGATGGCCCTGATGGGCAGCGAGAGGGGGAGGACGGCAGTAGCTCCCAGCAGGTGAGCGTGAACAGTGACAGTCCCTCCAGCAGTGACAGCGGCGGCAACGGCAAGCGGGGCTCAACAAAGACATACAAGAAGGCTGCCTGCAGCACAAGCAGTATCAACAGCACAAGCAGCAGCGGCAGCAGCAACAGCAACAGCGGGTCCGGCAGTAGCACAACCCGCCTTGCCCGTGTCTTGCACACCCTGCGCGACAAAGCAGATGACCCAGATGCAACCGCCACCCCAACGGCCACTCACGCTCCGACATCAGGAAGAGGGGCCAACACATCAGCCGCAACCCAAGACAACGCCAAGCAGGATGCAACAGCTTCTGCACCAACGAAACCCACGGCGGCAACAGCAACGCTGCAACCACCACCACTGCAGCCGACGGGTTCAGCAGTGAAGCGCGATGGCATCCGAGGCGGGGCAGGTGTTGATTACCACACACAGGTGGTTGAGGAGACGCTTGAAGCACTTGCAAAGAGCAAACGGCCCCAGGACACTGTGGCCGTGACGCTGGTCGCCAATGTGCAGCGCACTGGCGGTCAGCAGACAGTGGCTGTTGCGCAGCAGAAGAAGGTGCGTGGCGGCGTGGGTGGTGACTTGGATGCTGGGTTGGAGTTGGCAGGCGCGTTTCGAAAGCGCGACGGAGACTTGGGCGGTGGCCAGGATGATGACGACGACGATGATGGCGTGGCTAGCAGCAGCAGTAACGGCAACAGCAATAGCAACAGCAACACCAACGGCAGCAGTGGAAGCGGCAGCAGCAGCAACAACAATGCCATGCATGTGCATTCCTCATCGTCTTCAAGCACGACCAACTCCAACGGTCACAACCAGCGGCTTGCTTCCGGTACATCTGGCATTTCCTCTGGCACGGGCGCGTCCCACCCAGACTCTGCGTCGTCATCGTCCCTCGCCACCAACACCCCCTCCAACGCAGCACCGCCCACAGCCACATGCACGGGCGAAGGCAGTGGCAGCACAAGCAGCCGCCCTCACAGTGCAAACAGCAGCAACAGCGGCGGCCGTGACGGTGCTGATGGTGCTGACGGTGCTGGTGGACATGGTGATCGTCACGAGCGAAGTGGCAGGAAAGGAAGCAGCAGTAGCAATAGCAGTAGTAGCAGCAGCAGCATCAATAACAACGCTGCCACCACCAACAATGCTGGAGCGCGGCTCGCACCGCGCGGGCACCAGCGCATGCAGCCGCATGACCACCTGAGGCGAAAAGTGTTTCGCCACCACAAGCATGATGCTCCTTCAAAGCAAGAGGCGGCGTCGTCGTCGTCATCATCGTCGTCATCACTCAACGTGCCGCCTTCTCAAGAGGCTGGGGAGGCCCTGCTCAGTCAACACATTCGACACAGGCGGCATCACGCCGAACAAGCACATCGAACAGGAGCCGTACACCATCACCACCAGAAGAGCCAGCAACGGCAGCACCACTACCACCAACAGCAGCTGCAGCATCACCGCACGCACCATCACCAGCATCACCGCGGCGGTGCTCGTGGGGACGGGCAGGACCAGGCGGCCATGGGCAGTCACGCGGGTCGTTGGCGCGAACAGGACAGGCAGTGCCACATTGACGGCAAGCACAAAGGCAGCAGCACCAGCACCAGCAGCAACACGTCGACCAACAGCAGCAGCGACGATGTGCGGCGCGTTGGCGGCAGTGGCAGGGGCACGCTAGCAGCGGCATCAGCAGCAACTACACCTGCGGCGGGCAGCAGCCAGGCCAATCCATCTCGGACAGCTGCGTCTGACAATGCTGCGTCCTCCACAGCGCCACCAGCAGTCGGCACGCGAAACCGCAACTCAGGAGGTGCACGATCAATCCCAACCCAACAGCAACAGCAACATGAGCAGGAAGACGAGCAAGAGGAGGGACGGCAGCAGCAAGTGCGGCAGCGGGTGGTGCAAGGTTTTGAAGATGACTCTGCTGAGCATGAAGCGACGTCACCTGCATCGGGCTTACTCGCCCCGTCATCGTCCCAGGAGCCACTGGCCAGCATGATGTCTTCGTCATCCTCGTCGTCGGTGCAGCCAGCATCGTCGCCCACCTCTGGCTCAGCATCATCGGTAACAAAGACATCAACAGACGACAAGCTGACAACTGCGGTTGCTTCATCGTCATCGCCATCATCGGCCACGCCGCCGACAGCAAAGGGAAACCAGGCAGAAGAAAACAACGAACCAGGTGAGCAACACCAGCTACCACAGCAGCAAGACGAGCAGCAGCAAGAACAACAACAGCAGCAGCAACAACAACAACAACAACAACAACAACAACAACAACAACAACAACAACAACAACAACAGCAGCAGCAGCAGCAGCAGCAGCAGCAGCAGCAGCAGCAAGAACAACAACAGCAATCACAGCAGCAACAGGAAGAAGATGATGAACAGCAAGAGGAGAAAGGGCAAGATGAGGCAGCAGGCGATGATCATGATGATGGGGAAGATAGGGACTCGGGGCAGGACGAAGACCAAGCCCGTGTGTCGCCGTCATCCTCAACAACATCCTCGTCATCGGTGTCGTCCTCAAGCTCGGGCCGCGCGCCCGTAGCAAAGAAGGCAAGAACTGGGGTGTCTCCACCAGATGTGGGCGACGCAGCAGCGACAGCAGCAGCAGCAGCAGCAGCAGCACGTACAGGAGGTGCGGCAGCACCAACAGCACATGCGGCGGCGGCGACAACGCGACAGCGTGACAACGCAACTGACACCATCAGCAACATCGACGACGGCAACAGCAACAACGATGAGGACGATGGCATCCCCGCCACGAACAGCAACAACAGTGGTGGTGGCACCTCAGATGTGGCCGATGCCATGCACGCAAGCCAACAGCAACACATTCAGCAGCAGCAGCAACGAACAGCAGAGGACACAACAGCGCAGGCAAGCACACACGCGCACAACATCAACAACAAGGAGCAAGGCGTGCGTCACATGGCAACAACACATGGTCGTGGCCCTCATGTTGGAAAGCCCCTTGCTGCGAATACATCGGGCGATGGTGGTAGGAATGACGCCAGTGCTGGCCGCCAGCAGGCTGCGCGCGCTGGCATGCAAGAACAACAGCAACAACAACAACAACAACAACAACAACAACAACAACACGTGGGTAACAGGCGTACCGGCAACAAGCCCCAGGGTGACGCAAGTCACAGCCAGGGAAAGAAGAGGGGTTCGCGTAGCCGGCGCCGGCAGTCTCGCCGCGAATCCAAAGCCAGCGGCCAATCGACCAACACTGGTGACCAAGCTGACACCGACGCGCGCAACTCGCGCCGACGCCGGCGTAGTCGTCGCAATCAGAGAAGAAAGCAAGGTCGCAACAACTACAGCAGGCATCACGATAACAGTGGGAACGTGACTGTCAACGATGGCAAGGATAGCAACAGCGCCGGTGGGCGACCTGTGCGGGGACGAGGCAACAGATCAAGCCGCTACCGCCGCCGTCGCCGCGAGCACGTGCGCTCGCCATCCCTCCTGCGGTTTCGGCGTCAGTACTTTAACCACCGCCACCACCACGACCCAGCTGTCATCCCACACCACCAGCTGCACCAGGGGCGGCGTGGCCGCAGCATGTCAACAACGTCCTCGTCACCGCGGTCGCACTCGTACACGTGCACAAGCTCGACATCCAGCTCACAGCGACACTCTGGCGAGGGCAACGGCGGTGGCGGTGACGGTGGGACTGCAGGCACGCACACCCGCCGTGACCGCTCTGGATATGCTGAACTGCCCCCGCGCCGGCGGCGACGCTGGTCGTACAGTGGTAGCTCGCCAAGCACATCGCACGACAGCGGACTGCGGGTACTCCAGACAGGGGCGCGTTCGGAGTCACCGCCACAACATGGGGAGCGCAGGCGAACGACAGAGGCAACCGGCACCCGCAACGCCCGCACCACCAACAACAAAAGCAGCAGCAACAATACCAGCAACAATACCAGCAACAACAACAACAACAACAACAACAACAACAACAACAACAACAACAACAACAACAACAACGGGAGCAACAGTGGCAACAACCACAAGGGGAGCAGCAGTGGCAACAACAATGGTAGTAGCAACGCTGCTGCTGCTGCCGGTAACAAGGCTGTCAACGATCCCACCAACAAGCGCGACCGGAACAACCAGGGTGCCGGCGGTGACAGGGATGGAGCACACGTGCGAGTGGATAGCTCGTCGCCTGGTAGCAATGGCAGCCGTGGCAGTGGCAACAGCAACAACATGAGTACAAGCAGCGATGGCCGTGTGGGCGCGAGCATGGGTGTGCGTGGCATGGATGTGGCAGACTGGCGACAGCGTGGGGGGAACGATGGTGATGGCGGGAAACAAGCGGGTGGGGATCGAGGACACCACCAGCAAGATCGCCGCCGCCACCGCCGTCATCGCAGCGGTGGTGGTGGTGGTGGTGGTGGTGGCGACCGTGGGAGGACAGAGAGGACACGCAGAAGCCATGCCCTGAGCAGGGCCGGAGACGACATGGCGCAAGCACAGCAGCGACGCGGTTACGACAACAGCACCGCCAGCAGCAGCAGCAAGAACGCTGCGCGTCGGCGGGGGAAGCGGCGGGACACGAGTGGGCGGAGGAGCCGAAGCAACACCACAGGCAGCACCAGGCATCGCAACAGGATGGAACAGAACAGGGCAGCAGCGGCGGCGGCGGCGATGCGTGGGGAAGGCGCTCCACCAAGACACCAGCGAGAGCGAAGCCGCAAGCAGCGTGATGGTGGTGGTTGTGGCGATGTTGGTCATGATGGTGAGGGTGGGGTCGCAGTTGTCACAAGGCGTGATGTTGCTGGTGGTGGTGGTGGTGGTGGTGGTGGATGTGTTGACCTGTCTGGGGTGTACGCGGACACGGCGCCCCTCGGTGTGCACATGCAGGCGATTGGTGTTGTGCCGATGGGTGGCGTGATGGGCAGCAACGCGTTTACGCTGATGCAACCACAGCAGCAGCTGCAACAGCTGAGGGAGCAGCAAAACCAGCAAGGACAGCAGCAGCAAGCACGCGCACAGCAAGTGCCGACCGAACAAGTGGCATCACAGCCTCTTCAGCCGTCGCCGGAGATGGTTTTGGCGGATCCCAGGCATCAAATGGAGATGTTGGAACGACTGAATGCCATTTTGGCATATCGCAACTGGCAGCAAACCATGTACATCCAACAACTCGAGGTCGCGCTGCAGGCCCAACAGCAGCAACTACAAGGGATGCAAGGGATGCAACAACAGTCGCAGCAGCTCCACCAGCCGCAACAAGCACCGCAACAAGCACCGCAACAACAACAACAACAACAACAACAACAACAACAACAACAACAACAGCCATAACAGCAGGAGGAGTGGAATCCCAAGTGAGCAGACGGCTGTGACAGTTATCAGCGCTGCAACTCTACTGTTTTGTTATGAATATGGTTTGTTTGGCATTCACCCTTCAAGCCTTCAACTTCATCGCCTTCCAGCTTCATCGATTTTTTCACACCCACCCACCACCCTTTGTGCTGGAGGCGGCAGGAGAGGAGGAGAGGGGTGTTCCTTCATGGCTTCTTGTAAACGGGTAAGTGTGTTCATAGTTTGTTTCTTTCTGTCATGTACAATCAGACATTCTGCGTGCTCTCAGCGTCTCGTGGTCTTGTCCTTGCGAATAAAGCTGGCCATGACTCTGAAACACGCGTGATTCCATGAGCGCCCTCCCTCAGCACACACACAGAGAAGGGGAGAGGGTGTGGAGGGAAAGATGCAGCGAAAGAGTGTATGTGAGTGAGAAACACAGAAACACAGACAGAGCGTGTGCTTGTGCATGGGAACGAACACAAAAAGGAAGGCTCTCATATCCGACTACATTTTGTGGTGTGGAGAATTGACTGCACTGCGGCCTCGTTGTTTGTTGTCCGCCAACCCACAGGCACTCGTCGACACAAAGGGACAAGGTCTGCCAGACGCACGTGTGCGACGACAGCACCGACAAGGTGTGCCATCGACGGCCTCGTGCACTGCCTGGTGTTCATTGTGTTTGTGAAGCCCAGTGCGCCCTCGACACTCTTGAGCACCGCACCGCACGCACCCGTTTGTTTGTTTGTTAGTTTGTTTAGGTTTGGTTTGCTGACAGAGCCTGTCTTTGCTGTGTTTCCTCGTATCGACAGGGATTGGTGTTCCTCATGGCACAGAGAGCCCGCAAGCAACAGCCGCTGCCCACCAGTTCGTTCACGTCTTCTTGCGTTCATGCGTTTGGGAGAGACGGCTGCTTGAAGGCTGCACTGTCCCTTCCAAGGCCGCCTACTTTCCCCGGGCTCGTTGGCGGACGCGTGAATGGCATCTCAACCCCCGGGCTTTGACAACCGCGGTCATGGCGCCTCTGGGTCGACGCCAGGTGGCCTCCCCTCGATGCACGTCCAGCCGCCGCCACCGCCAGCACTGCCACTGCCACTGCCATCGACAGGAACGGGTGTTCACAGCGGTGACATGCAACTCCGGGCGGCGTACGCATCACCCCAACCCGCCCTTCAGCCACCGGTCCGCTCGCAGCCGGACCTATCGATGGGCGTGCCTCTTCCGGTTCCATATTGCCAGCCCCAATCTGCACAGCTGCACCCACCGCATCAACAACACACCCAGCAACATACCCCTCGTCAGCGTGCACAACAGCAGCTTCTCGTGCCCAGTGGACAGCACGCGCCGCAGCACGCTGTTGGCTTTGGGCCCGTCGCTGCGAGGTCACAGACACCCCTGCATCACAGCGCATACCCCGTTCCTCAGCATGTGCATCAGCACGTGCCTCAGACCTACGCTCCACCATATGCACACCAGCAAATGGCGCTTCCCACACCGGCGCCAATGCAACAACAGCCTTTCCACCAGCTGAATCCGCTGCACCAGCTGCACCACGCACAGCAGCAGCAGCTGCTGCAGCTGCAGCAATTTCAATTCGGGCACTACCATCAACACCAGGTGTCGGGGGCGTATGTTCTCCCTCAAGCCAATCCAAGCACAGCAGCAACAGCACAAGTCATCGACAGGCAAATGCTCCAGGCGCACAGGAGGAACACCAACCAAGCACTGGCGCACCGCCATCACAACCTCCGCCCACACAAACAGCACCGTGCACGCCCGCACTCACGCACGTCATCCACATCCTCATCGACATTGTCACATGCGAAGCGAAGGGGCAAACGGAAGAAGAACGAGAGGAACCGACGCAGCAAGAAGCACAGGGCGCGGCATCTGGCCCGCCACGGCTCCAGGCGCAGTGACAGCAGAGGATCGCTTCGTCGTCACAGCAGCGCAACCAGCCGACGTGGCAGCCGGTATGGTGATGACGTGCGTGTTGTTTCTGGTGGTGCTGGTGGTGGTGATGATCATGATGATGATGATCATGATGACGACGATAATGGTGGTGATCGTGCTGGTGCTGGCGATGATGATGATCATGCTGATGATGATGGTGATGTTGAATTGATTAGGAGGAGGAGGCAGCGGCAGCGGCAGCAACAGGACGAGGAAGAGGTGGAGGAGGAGAGTGTGCGAAGTGGCGCAGCTGGCAAGAGGACTGGCGTTCGAGTGAGGAGTGTTGATGACGACGACAATGACGAGAACAATGACGAGGATGGTCATGATGATGATGATGATGATGATGATGATGATGATGATGATGATGCTGTCGACGACCACAACAGTTGCGACAGTGATGATGGTGATGGGAGCGATCGACATGGCAGGAGCGACGATGATCAGCCAAGACGACGCAAGGCCAAGGCAGACAGAGCTACGACAATTAGGGGCAGGAGAGACAAGAAGAGGCAACCCAGGAAGGCCAGGAAGACAAGGAAGGCAAGGAATGTCAAGAAGGCAAAGAAGCGGAGGGTGGAGAAGAAGAGCAAGAGAAGGAGTGCAGCAGGTGCCATGGGGAGTGCTGTATTAGCGCACCGCGACAATCAACAATCGCGCAGAGCGAGTCGGGTGGATCCAGAGGTGATTGTGATCTCTTGTGACGAGTCGTCGACCGACAGTGACACCAGCAACAGCAACAGCATGGGTGGTGCTGACGAGCCTGCCCGTGGTGAGGGCGGTGTGCATCTGGCGTCAGAGTTGCAGGTTGAAGGACAGTTTCTCTGCAATCTCAACACGTTTTGTCCGCTGACAAGGAAGCAAGCTGCAGCGAGACGCGGTGTGTACGTTCAGCGAAGTTGCCGTTGGTGTTTTTTTTTTTGTGTGTATATGTATGCATGCGTGTGTGTGCATGTGTGTGTGCATGTGCGCATGTGTGTGTGTGTGCGTGTGTTTATGCGTGTGTGCATGTGTGCGTGTGTTGCGTGTGTTGCTGTTGCTGTGCCACCTGTGAAACGACACACCCTGTAACATTGTTTGTGCCACCACACACACACACACACACACACACACACCGTCAGCTGCGCGCGTGCCGTTTCTGCTCACGTGTGGCGACCGCGGACTTCCCGTCCGGCCGCGCACGTGCGCATACGCCTGGCCAGATCTTCCTGCGCCGCTCCCGCTGCTGCCACTCACCGATGAGAAGGACCAGCACGCATCTGCGCATGGTGACAAGAGCACAAGGCCGCAATCGGCACGTCACGGTCGACCAGCACTGGCCCACGGCGCCAACTCGCACGCTAACAGTGCCAGCCAACCACCGCCACCAACAAAACCGCCACCGACAACAGCACCACCACCAGCAACAGCAGCAGCAGCAGCACGAGGGGTGTGGGCTTGGGGATCTGGTGCTGCGAGTGGGAACGCGCCAAATGCGCCCCTATCGTCGTCATCAACGTGGCCAACGCCAACAGCAGCAGCGCCGACGATGACAGCACCACCAACAACAACACCAACACCAACAACGGTAACGCCAACACCCACGACGGCAACAACAAATCCACGGCCGCTGGCGTCGGAAATGGCAGTGGGTGACCGCGCCACTGGTGCCGGTACTGATGGCCGCATATGTGCCACCACCACCACCACCACCACCACCACCACCACCACCACCACCACCACCACCACCAAAAACACCGGCAGCAGTGCACCGCCCAATGTGTGTCGCCCTCAGCCCAGGATCAAGGCAAGCCTTTCCAAGCGCGGGGTGCATATGCTCGCGAGGCAGATGCAGAGCATGCACGATTGCATCGATGACCAAGTGTGCGAGGGTGTATACTTGCTTGCAAGGGAGCTGGAGGAGGAAAATGCCAAACAAAATCGCACGCAGAGGAAGGCGGGTCACCCACGCAGAGGGCGCGCTGGGCGCAAAACCAGAAGAAAAGACAACACCAACAACGGCGCTGGCGCAGACGGTGGCGATGACATTGATGCTGTGATTCCCGCGTTGACGACGCGCTTCCGACCGTTTCACAAGGACTTGCACTCGAGTGCAGGCGTTGGCCTGCGGGTGCTGACGTGGCTGTGGATGAGAGAGAGGCGAAAGGCCGCAGACGACAGCAACAACAACGACGACGACGACGACAACAGCAACAACAACAACAACAACAACAACAACAACAACAACAACAGCGACGACGACGATGATGATGATGATGATGATGATGATGATGATGATGATGATGATGATGATGATGATGATGATGATGATGATGATGATGATGATGATGATAAGAGTGCGACTGCTAACGCAAGCGCTACCCCATCAGCAATGCCAAGGTCCAAGCAGCCCGCAGTCACACGACGGTGCAAGTTGCTACACGTGCACAAGAGGCGAGATGGCGCGCTGGCAGCGCTCGTGCGACACATGACTGTACAGCACGCCAACGGCGAACACGCACGGCTTCAGCTGAGTAGGCTGTGGTTTCGGCGTGCGCTGTGTCCGAGGGAGGTTGTGGCGTCGTACGTGGGCGTGGGCGGTGAATTGGTGGACCTCCGTGACGCTGCGTATCGGAAAGAAGAGGAAGAGGACAGGGAGGCGCGAGAGCGACGATTGGGGCGATTTAGATGGAACAGACAGCAGAAACCGGGAGTGGAGGAGATGGCGTCTGGAGGACGTGGCATGTATGTGTCATGGAACTTCCGACGGGCGGGTATCGGTGGTGGTGGTGGTGGTGGTGGTGATGGTGGTGGTGGGTCGAAGCACGTTGCTGGCGTTGAGCGTACGCTGGCCGGACAGGAAGCGACGGCACCGGGTGCTATCACCACGGCGGCGTCACAGGGCGACGAAGGTCGCAAGCAACAGCAACAACAACAACAACAACAACAACAACAACAACAACAACAACAACAACAACAACAACAACAACAACAACAACAACAACAACAACAACAACAACAACAACAACAGGAGGCGCATGCTAGGGTGCAACAGCTGTTGCAGCAGGGAGAGTGGCAACGGCAGGCAACGGTTGCTGTGCACTTACGCGAGCAGCAACGTGTTGGGCGACTGCAGCAACAACAACAACAACAAGTGTCACATGAGCAGCACGCACACGTTGCCCGTGCCCATCAGCCTGCACTTGCCCCAACACACGGGCAGCAGCTGCAGGGACACCAACCCCACCAACGACGTGAACCGCCACCTCACCCGCATCACGACCGCCAACAAGTGTCACTACCGCTCCCGCGGCAAGAACAACAACAACAACAACAACAACAACAACAACAACAACAACAACAACAACAACAACAACAACAACAACAACAACAACAACAACAACAACAACAACGCCATCTCGCCTCAGCAGCAGCAGCCCCACCACAGCGGCAGCAACCGTGGCGCCATCACCCGCACCAGGGACAGTACTACCGCCCTCCAGCCAACAACAAGAACCTCCTATTTTATCTGCAACAGAACCCGCGCTTGCTCAACAAGCAGCTGCATCAACAGCACGCCATTCAGCAGCAGGGCAGGCGCCGCGCTGCTGTGCGCAGACACGCGCTCGCACGGGCGAGGAAAGCGGCCACTGGCAAGTACAAACTAGCGGCAGGCGAGACGTCATCAGCATCAGCCTCGACAGTGCCCAACAGCAACAACAGCCACGCCAAGGGCCCCGCAAAGGGCAGCGACAACAGGGCTGACCCCCATGATCAGTCGTCTGAGGAAAAGGTGACGGCCCAACCAGCTGCTGCGAATGATGATGGTAGTGATGATGGTGACAGTGGTGACAGCGGTGATGGTGGTGATGATGGTGACAGTGATGATGGCGGTGGGGTGAAAAGTGAAGAAGACGGCGACGAGTAAAAGTTTGGCAAGCGAGCGTGTGCTGTGTGCATGCGTGTGCGTGGCATATGTATATGATGTGCACTGTGTGCGTGTGATCGAACCTAAGGGAATGTGAAGCATGTGCGAGCATGTGTGTATGTGTGTATGTGTGTGTGTGTGTGTGTGCGTGCGTGCGCGTATGTATTTGTGGCGAGACACGCTTCATTTGTATTTGTGGAGAGGCCTGCCTCGTTTGTACTACTACTGGCAAGCAAAGCATGGCTCATATGTATTTGTGCATTGTCTCGCGTTGTTCACATTCGTGTATGTTGTGTGTTTCATGTGTATTCATTGGTTGTTGTTGCGGCTGCGCCATCATGTAAACAGACTTGAGGATTGGCAGATGAGCGTGACCATCAGCGAGATGAGTTGTGACATGCGCTTCATTGTGTCTCGTTTCGTTGACTCGGTGTTCATGTGACCGAAAGGTTGTGGTTGGTTGGACATGGAAGGCGCCAGCACATTCGCTCATCCCATCGGTCACCACACAATGCGAGAAACGACAACAAATGTGAAATGAACAACGTCACCCCATCTGTTGACTTGCACCGCACAAGCACTCACGCACGCAAGCTACCACTGTGCAGTGCACATACCACCAACGGCACGCACACAAGCACACACAAGCACACACACACACGGGGATGCAGGGTGTAGGATGGGAAGAAACGAAAGAACAGAAAAAAATGAAAAGAAAAAAGCCTCGACACACGAGGGCGGAAAAACAGGACAGTGAATGACATGCAACGATGGAAGACATAACACGAGCACGCTCAACACCACATGGAGGATCTATCACACAAGGTGGTCAAGGGGAATGAACAACGACGGTGGATGGAGGGGTCCAACAACACGTCGATCAATGTGGTGATGGTGAGGATGATAATGAACTTTGGTGTTTGGGCGGGGGAGGCGGGTGCGGAGATGAATGGAAGTGATGGATTAGTTGATTGGTTGTTTGGTTGGTTGGTTGGTTGGGCGACTAGGCGGTTGTTTGGTTTTGCAGCTCAATGTCCTTGACGCGGCGCTGCACAGAACCGCTCTTTGGTCGCCCGCTGCTGCTGCTTCCGCTGCCAGACCTAATGAGGAGAAAGGGGGTGAGCGTATCGGTGACGGTATGTGTGAGGGTATGTGTGTGTGAGGGTATGTGTGTGAGAGGGTATGTGTGTGTGTGTGTGTGTGTGAAGAGTTCAAGTGGGAGGCAACGGCCGCACAAAAGACAACACACACAGACAATCACACAAGGCGACTTGACTTGTATCACAACACGCATGCACAACGGCAGTTACAGCACCAACGCACTTGTTGCGGTAGTAGAAGACGCCTGCGACGATGAGTGCGATGAGAACGATGGGCACAATGACGGCGGCTGCGACGGTGCCGGAGGACACGCTGCCGCTGCCGCTGCCGTTCGAGTCACCGCCGTTGTTCGTCACCTCCTGATGGTGGTGGTGGTGGTGATGGTGATGATGGTGATGGTTGGTGATTGGGGGTGGTGAGGGTTGGTGGCGAAAACCATGGCAGGTTGGATTGAATTAAAAGAATTCAATGACACAGATGTTGCAGCTGGTCAGAACGAGCAAACAAGGTGGCTTGTGTGGGTGGAACTGAAACTTACAGTGACAGCGGAGCTCTGGGCGGAGGTAAGAAGGCCCTCCTGTTAACGTGAACCGACCATGAATGATTACCATGGGTTGGCGGTTGGAGGTTAGAAGTTGCAAGAACAAAAAAAAAAAGGGGGGGGGGGCATTGCCACCAAAACTACACACAGGTCCACACACAGGTGCACACAGACACAGACACACAGACACAGACACAGACACAGACACACACACACACACACACACACAGACACAGACACACACACACACACCTCGACGGGGCAGTCAAGGCTGGTGCGGAGGGAGGCGACGACGGCAAGCTGGTCCGGGGTCATGACGTGCAGCTTCTGGTTCTCGCAGAGCAGGGTGAACACCTCGTCGCTGATACGGCGTAGGGCCCGGGCGGGAATAGCGGCAAGGTCAATGTCGTCGAGACCAGCAATGATGGCGCCGGCGCGGTCAACCATGTCCGCAGACCAGTCCGCAGTGTCGCCAAGCGCCTCTGCAGTAGTGTCGGGTTTTGCAAGAGAGAAAGGGGCGGGGATTGGTGAATTGCGGTGAGTACGCGAGATGGTTGTAGCGTGCTTCCTGCATACAAGGTATCCCAGCAAACACACACACACACAAGCAAGTGCATACACACACGTACACACACGTATATGCACACACGTGTGTCAACGCACCGATGAGCTGGTCAGCGAGGGCTGCAAGCTGGTCGGAGTTCCACTGGACAGACACAAAGTTGTCGAGTGCGTCCACGACGACGCTGGCGGAGAGGCCACGGAGGGCGGCGGCATCAAGGCCACGGATGGCGTTTCCAAGCATGCGCAGCTCGCTGGAGGTCCATGACGCAATGCTGTCGCCGCTGCCGAGGAGGTTCATGGCACGCTTCACAATGCACTCCACGAGCGAGTCGCCAAGGCAGTTGACGCTGGCAATGTCTGTGAGGGCGTCGGTGGGGAGCTGGCCCATATCGGCCGGGGACAGGGAGATGGCGAGCGGGCCAACAGATGCGCGGACAGACGCGTTCCACGTGCTCACTTCGCCAAGCAGCTCCCGCAGGCGCAGGCCGATGACCTGTTGAACGGACAGTTGGACAGTTGGAAAGTTGGGAAAGTTGGATGGATGGATGGATGGTTAGTGAGAAGGGTTGAGTGAACGAGATGAGGGCGCACCGTGACAACCAGACAACACATGCACACACACACACACATGCACACACGCACACACACACATGCACACGAGAGACCCAGTAGCTGTTGGCTGGTTGGTTGACTGACCTGAAGCTGCTCGTTGCAGAGGGGGAGGTCCTGCAGGGGAAGGCCGAGCGAGTCGTCGCAGGCAAAGTCAAGCAGGCACCTGGCCATGGCGGTGGTGGTATTGGGGTTGGTGTCGGGTGGTGGCAGTCATGATCATGAGACGGAGGAGGAGGGAGAGAGATGGAGAGATGCGTAGGAAGAGAGATGGAGAGGCACGCAGCGAGAGAGATGGAGAGACACGCAGGCGCACGCCACATAAACACAAGCACACACACACACACACACAACGGACACATGCACACACACACACACACATACGCACGGACACCAAGCACAGAGCAAGTGTACTTACACAGCCTCGTCGAGAACGCCTGGCACGACGTCGCGCAAGAAGGGAATGAGGTCGGTCGTCATGTGCATGAGGTCCTGCGGTGCGAGCGCCTTGAGCATGTCACCGAGGTCGCTCAGCTGCTGCGGGGTGAGGCTGTCAACAGAGCCAAGCAGCTCCGTGATGCGCGGGCCAAGCGTCATCAGCGCAGCGTTGGAGAACGTCGCAAGCGGCTGCACACGCGTGTGTTTGAGAGGGCGGGGGGATAATGTGAGGGTGGTAACAGAAGCGGGGCAAGGTTGGGTGAGAAACAAACGAGAGAGAAAACTGCTAAAACGCGCAATGCGATGGCTTTGACACACACACACACACACACACACACACACAGAACAAAAACAAAACAGTGCGCGCGTGACGTACGTCGTTGCCAAGGGCGGAGAGGGAGGACGGGGTGAGGTCAGAGAGGGACATGGCAGCAAAGTCCGCCGCGTGCTCGGGGAATGCCTGCCACGTGGTCGCGCTCCAGTTCTCAACCTGCAACAATTGGGGTAATGATGATGGTGATGGTGATGATGGAGGTGGTAGTGTTGCAAAGTCAGTTGAAGACATGCACAGAAATAACCATGCAGAACAGACCAGCCCACGACACACCGTGCACACAACCATGCATGCAATCCGTCCCCTTCCCCTCCTCCATGCGCACACACGCACGCACACACGCACGCACACACGCACACACACACACACACACACACAAAATAGCACATTATTACGATACGCACCGGTCCAAAGAGCTCGACGGCGCGGGCAAGGAGGGCCTCGACTTGGTTGTGGGAGAGGTCGTGGATGGAATCCACCAGCATGATGGCCTCGGCAGGCAGGCGGCGAATGGTCTCCGAGGGGATGGCAGCCAGGGCCGGCTGCAGCTGCTCAAGAAGATCAAGTGCAAACTCCTCGAGCTGAACACCGCGCAGGGCCATGAAGCGCTCAAGGACGGCGGAGAGGACGTCGTGGGGCAGCTGGTCGGCAATGTCGACGAGGAACATGAGGGCATCCTCATTCAGGTCGGCAACCACGTCCACGCCAATGGCCTTGAGGATGTTGCCGACAACGCCAAAGTCCTCCGTGCTCCACTCCGTGATGGGGCCGAGCTGGTCAATGGCCTCGCCAAGCAGCATCTCTGCCGTGTCGAATGGGATGTCGAGGACGGTGCCGAGCGTCTGCAGACCCGTCATGCTGATGTTGCGCAGCGCGTCCGTGGCAAAGTTGACGGCGAGCAGGCCAAGGTCGTCCCAGGCGCCGTCGTCCCACTGGCTGGGCATGCCAACCACCTCCACGACGCGGTCCAGCAGCATGTTGAGGCGGGCCGGGTCGAGCCCCGTGTCGGGCAGACGGCCAAGCGCACGGATGCCGGTCTCGCCCATGTTCTCAAGGTGGTCGGCGGCAATGCCAGAGGCAAACTGTGCAACCTGCTGCCACCCTTCCTCGTTGTCGCTGGACGCGCCTCCAATGAGATCAATGCCACGCGAGGCGATGGTGGTGATGCGGTTCAGGTCAACGTCAAATGCGACGCGGGCCAGGGCGTTGAGGTGCGACGAGTCCGCCAGCACCTGCAGGTCGCCGTCGGCCAGGCCCGACGCCACGTTGCCAATGGCGCGGAAGTCTGTGCTGTTCCATGTGGAGACGAGACCGACAATGTCCACAACGCGCTCAGCGAGGGCCTCGACGGTGTCTGGGGGGATGCCTGTGATGCCGCTGGCGATGAGCACGGCAGAGTCAATCAGCAGCGGCTCAAGGTTCTCAATGTCCCCGCGTGCAAGGCCTAATGGTGGTGTGTGGTATGTGGTGTGTGTGTGTGTGTGTGTGTGTGTGTGTGTGTGTGTGTGATATGTGTGTTGGTGGCGATTCTGGGTGTCGAGTACTCCATATTGTATCAGCCGTAAGGTACAGAATTGATCAGAGCAGTAAACGTCTCAGCCGACTTACAAGAGGTAGCTGCTTAGCTTCCCGACTTATAATGCGAAGGCCAGATGGACCCTGTTTGGAGGACACTACCCACACACACACACACACACAACACACACACACACACACACACACACACACACACACACACACACACACACACACACACACACACACACACACACACACACACACACCTCGGATGAGAGAGCCCATTTCGCGGAAGCGGTCGACGTCCCAGCCCGTGACAGCGCCAACAACGTCGACGGCGCGGGTGATGAACATGGTGGCCTGGGACGGCGCCCAGCGGCGCTCGCAGCCAAAGTCCTGCAGCGTCGACTCAAACACAGACGGGTCAATCATGCTGCACGGCGACAGTGGCAATGGTGTGTGTGTGTGTGTGAGGGGGGTGGGGTGGGGTGAGCGGAATGGAACACGTGAGGCGAGGAGTGGTGTGAGGGTGAGCATACACGCAAACTACGTTGCTAGTGAACAATACACTGCGCACACAAGCACACACACACACACACACACAACGCAGGAGCCGGCAGGTGGCAAACGGACTTGATGAAGTTGCGAAGGTTCTCCTCTGCAAAGTCGACGAGCCGCTGTGCAATGTGGCCGATTTGCGCAATGGTCATGTCCCCGACGGCGCGCAGATGCCCAAGAATGTCCTGGCCAAGCGCGCTCAGGTCCTCCAGGGACGCCTCTGTGATGCTCGTCACGCCCCGCACAATGTCCTGCAGGGGTGGTGGTGGCCGTGGGTGGTGGTGGTGGTGGTGGTAGTTGGTATGATGGGGTGCCATCGCTCAACGTCACAAGGGTCAACGCACGAAACCACAGCACATGCACACACGCACACATGTAACTGAACAGACACGCACGCACAAGCACACAAGCACACATACACATACACATACACACACATACACGCACACATACACGCACACATACGCGCACACACGCACACATACCTGGAGGTGTTCGGAGAGGGCGTTGAACTGCTCGCCAATGGTCTCGACAATGTCATCGGAAAGGTCCACAAAGGCTTCCTGCAGGTCATCTACGGCATCCTGGAAGGCGCCGCCAACCGTGTCAATCACGTCGTTGAACGCATCGTCCAGCGTGTCTGTCACGTCGTCAAAGAAGTCGCCAATGTCACGGCGCCGGCGCAGCGACGCGTCAGCACCATCGGAAGTCGTGTTGAACACGTTTTTGAACTGGAACTGCTGCTTCTGCTCCATGACAAAGGCGTCAAACGCGGCCCACTGCGGGGTGCACAGGTCGAGGCACGTGCCGTTGCAGCGGTGGGCATACGGGGTGCTGGGGTCGTGCGTGGCAGCCGTGGCGTGGTCCGAGTGCTCAACACAGACGGGGCAGTTGGGTGTCGACGACACAAAGAAGACGTGCTTGTCGCTGCTACTGTCGCTGCCTGGGCCGACGGTGACGGTGCGCGTGGTGAAGAAGGGCTTGTGGGAGGCCGAGTGGGCGGCAAAGGCGAACCTGTTGTTGAATGAGGCGCCAGAGGACGGCGAGAGCGAAGGGTCCACAACGCACGTCGCAAAGTTGCTCAGCCCCATGAGGAGGTCCTCAAAGGTTCCAAAGCGGCTGCTGGTCTGTCCGCCCATGGGTGCTGCTGCTGCGGCTGCCTCCTGCTCCTCGGCAATGAGCTCGAGCGTGTGGGGGCGGACGCGGCACGTGGACATGCACGCAGCGCCGGAGAGGGAGGTGCGCTTGCCATTTGGGCGCGGGGGCTCGACGTGGGCGCCGTGTGCGGCGACGGCAAGGGTCAGGGCGATGACGAAGGCAACAACGGCTGCTGTTGTCCTCATCTTGACGGTGGTGGTGGTGGTGGTGGTTGTGGTGGTGTTCTCGGTTCCAATCAAATCAACAAATCAGCAAAGGAAGGTCTGTCAAAAGGTGGATGGTTGGTTGGGAGACAGGAGGGAGAAAGGGGAAGATAGCGGGGAGAAGGAGGGGTTGTAGAGCAAAGCAGAGCAGAGAGCGAAAGCAAGCAAAGGTGAGTGAGTGAGTGAGTGATGTGACAGCCAGCAGATGAATAGCGCAACGAGCAAGAGCAAGAAAGCGCCAGCCAGCGTCAATGGATCGATGTCACACGGTAGAAGGTGACGACAAATAACGACAAGTCAATCACGACGACGGAAGAGAAAAAGAAAGGTGACAGCGAAGCAAGCAAGCCCACAGCGACAGCGCTGATATTGGTGGATGGTGGTGGTCGTGGAGATGGTGGTGGTGGAGATCAAGACAGATATGGGGGGAAGGCAAGGCGATACCATCCAAATTAGGAACAGACAGCGGGAGGGCGCAAAAAGTAAATGGAAACGAGACGATGGTGTGCACACACACCCGGTTTCATGGACGAAGGAAAATGCAAGGGGGGGAAATGGAAGTCAAAGGGGAAACATACACATCAAGCACACGCACGCGCACACACGCACACACAGAAAGGTGGAAAAAGGCAACACACATGCACGCACACAGATGCACGCACACGTACACACACACACACACACACACACGCATCGGACGTGGTGCAAACAATGGCGTCGGCATCACGCAAGAGGAGAAAACCACACACGCACACCCCTACACACGCACGAACAAAGAACAAGCGGGTGTGGGGAGTTGCAAGGCACTTCAGAGAAGAAGCAAGAGAGATAGATAGAGAGAGAGAGAGAGAAAGCAAAGAACATTCAATACTCCCGCAAGATGTGCTTCAAAAGAGGGAAAGGGGGAGCGGGAACGAAAAGCACGAGACGGCTACACATGCGCCAACGCGTACAGAACACATGCACGACGGAGGTTGATGTTCATAACGCAGTCAGGCTGATGCAACGCACGTACCAGGGTGTAGATGGACTCAATGGTTAGAGCGGCCGGGTCAATGGGGGAACAATCGCTAGACTCGAGGAAACGCCGGAAGTAACGCGTGCGTAGTAGGGTCGGACGGAAGGTTTGCTCAATGATGTGAAGCGGCCGAGATGGAAGGCGGTGGGTGAACTTGGTTCGTGTGGGTGATATCGGGAAGACGGGTGAAGGAGAGCTGGGCTTGGCTATGCTTGGCTTGGCTTGGCTTGGCTTGAGGTTGCAGCTGGTGGTGGTGTTCGATCGGTGGCTTGTAAGCGTGTGGCTTGAATGGGTGCTTGATCTGGGTTCGTGTCACAATGCAGGAAAATGAACTTGTGATGGACGATGTGTGCACACGAACAGCCGGTTCACTCAATGGAACCAGGTGTGCGTGGTGCGTGTGTAGGTGCGTGCGAGTGCCTGCGACGTTGGTCTTGGCCTGTGAGAGTGCCACGACAAACACACAGTTGCAGGACCGAGGGAGAAGGACACGTGTCAGCAGCAACAACAACGGCAGAGCCCGTAAGCCGGAATGCGTGCGCTGCCAATGATGTGTAGGCTGTTCGTGACAATGGATTGATGCGTGTTTGGCTCGTGCCTCAAATATAAACACACATCACCCTCGCGTGCGCGCGCACCAGGTTTGACTGCAACCGCACGGGAACAAGATGTGTGTGCGTTTGCGTGTGCGTATGTACGGTTGCTTGCTTGTGTTCGTGTGTGGTTGTCTGTGTGCGAGCACGACCAAGGCAAGCAAGGGATCCAAGGGAACAAGGTGCGTGCGTGCGGGCGTGGTTGAGCACAAGCTCACAAGCACAAGCTCACCTCCAATCCAGAAAACGCAGACGAAGAACGATGACGAGAATGACGAAATTTAGGCCAAATCTTATGCGATTTTCGATGGGAAGAAGTTGGTTGTGGTCCTTGCCTTTGAAGAATTGCGCGCGTGCGCTTGTGTGTTTTGGGTGTGTGTGTGTGTGTGTGTGTGTGTGTGTGTGTGCAACAACAGCATGAAGGGCGAAAAGAAGGCTGAAAAGGAAAACGCCGGACAGCACGCAGAGCAGACAAGTGCACGGACGTATGCATGCCCAGACAACAGCACCAAGCAGACTCAAACATCAAACACAAATCAACACCAGCAGCGACACGTGCACAGAAACATATCAGAGGATGACACACTGACCTACTGACACACAAACACACACACGCGCGCGCGCGCGTGCACGAACACGCGATCATGAGCACGTGCAGTGTCACGTGCCACGCAAGCACACAGAACATAACACAACCTAACACGCGTAGGTTGCAGAGAGGCAGAAACAATGGGCTCAGGTGCGTAGGTGGGGTGCGTGTGTGAGGTGAAATTGTGAGGGTGATTGTGAGGTGATTGTGTTGCACGAAAACAATGACGATGCATTCAAGGCGCACCTGTCAACACGCAAGGCTGAAGGCACACCAAGTGATGTGATGGACGCAGACACACTTAAAACGAGCAGGTCCAGACGAAGGAAAAGCACACACACACAAAAAAAAAAATAGGCACACGCACACACACACGCACGCACACACAGACACACACACAGACACACACACGCACGCACGCACAGACACAGACACAGACACACACACACACGTATGAACAGCTGTGCAAGTAGCAGCAACATGTGCGAGAGACTGAGAGTGCTGGAATGGTAACAGCGGTCATGTAATGTTGAATGAACAAAGAGCTACTACATACGAGGAAGCGAGCAAGCCGAGGAGGAAAAGTGAACAAAGAGCAGAGGAGAGAGAATGATGGGCAATGAAAGGACAGCACAGCACAGGGAAAGGGGCAGCAGACAAAACAGAGGCAAAGAGACAGACAGACGGACACATACACAGCGGACGGACAGACGGATGGACAGACGGACAGACGGACATACGCCAGCACAAACACACACACGCACACACACACACACACAATGCGCACACGCAAGCACCAT